CTACACACACAAAGCATATAGATTATGTTACCTACCTCACCAACTCTGGTGGCTCAATCCTGAAGCACAGAACAGAAACGCACTGAAAAGAGGCAACAGATATGTGCACTTAAACCATAAACTGGACTGGTCAGACAACACCGATGCTCTCTTCAGGAAGGAACAGAGCAAGCTGTTCTTCCTGAGGAGGCTCAGGTCATTCAACGTGTGCACGAGGCTGCTGCAGATGTTCTACCAGTCTGTGGTGGCCAGTGTGCTCTTCTTTGCCGTGGTGTGCTGGGGTGGAAACACAAACACTAGGGACACTGGCAGGCTGAACAAGCTCGTGAGGAAGGCTAGCTCTGTAGTGAGAGTTCAACTGGACAATCTGGAGGAGGTGGCAGAAGGGAGGACGAGGAGGAAGCTCGACAGCATCCTAGAGAACCCCTCCCACCCACTCCACGCAGAACTAGTGAAGATGAGGAGCACGTTCAGCCACAGACTCATCCCTCCACAACAACGCACCAAGCGCCTCGGACAGTCCTTTGTGCCTGTAGCCATCAGGCTGCACAATAAGGGGTTAATAATGAAAAAGAAATAAAATTAAATCACTGGACATAAATATACACTGTTTCCACAACCCATGTTAACTTGTCACTTTAACTTATTCCGCACTTTAGAACTTAGATGATGACCAAATATGTATATATGCTGACAGTTATTTTACTCTTATTTTTATTCATCTCCTATTTTCATAGTCTTTTATTATTATTATCATTATTTCCTTGATGTTATGTTATTTATTATTTATTTTAGATTTTATTGATCTGTGTGAATCTTTGCTGTACTGTTTTTTTCACGCTTACCCTGTTGCTGCTTTGTACAACTGAATTTCCCCTCAGGGATTAATAAAGGTTCATCTTATCTTATCTTATCTTATATCACTTAAACAATGTAACATGAATTAATTAAATTTAACTTTTAGATGTTTTCTGCGACTAGAGCTACATCACGAAATGAACAATTGATGATCATTAAATAATAATAATAATAATAATAATAATAATAATAATACACTTTATTTATATGGCACCTTTCATTCAGGATGCAGCCCAAAGTGCTTTACAGAGCAAGACAAGATACATACAACAATAAAAAGTGAGAAACATAATTAAAAACAAGTTATAAAATACAAACAGAAAGAGTTATATCACAGAACCATAAAACAATGAAACATGACAATTTGATACCACTAAATGACAAAAAGCCAAATTAAAAACATTTGGTATAGTCTATTACATTCCAATGGAGGTGCTGTTCTAAGTTCCAATTAGACCGTTTGGGGCCATACAAACAGAAGGCAGCATCCCCACATCTCTTGTAAAATACTAGGTTCTTCTATAAGAAAGACATTAGAGGATCTGAGTGTCCTTGTGGGGTTACAAAATGAAAGGCAGTCACTGATGTATGTAGGGGCCAGGTTATGTAAAACCTTAACAATCATTAAAAGCACTTCATAAATTCTGAAAGATACCAGTGCAGTGATGGGAAACATGATCTATTTTTTGTGTGTTTGTAAAAATCCTGGCCGCAGCAGCATTCTGAATTAATTGCAATTTCTTTAAAGATGTTTTAGAGAGACCAGTAGAAAGAGAATTGCAGTAGTCCAAGCGCCTAGTAATAATAGTTTAAAATGGTCTAATCCTGGTAATGTGCCTTCCTTTAAAGGCTCTGCTGCCTCGAAGTGTCCAAGAAACAACAAGGAATCTGCTGAGAGAGCTTCCGCTTCTAGTAAACATACATGCATGTTATTCTTAGATGAAATGAACAACTGCCAATAAACAAAAAGCTAAGCCCATAAGGAGGAGGTTTGGGTGGTGGAGGATGCTCAGGCATCAAATGGTGCCGGCATATCAGCTGATAATGTACCTGCATGAAAATGATTGGATGTAACAAGCCACAAATCCGTAAATGGGCCAGTGTGATTTCTGAATTGTGCTGTGCTTTATTAATGTTTAATTTAAAGTGTCAACATGTACTTGAATCAAATCCTAAAAGGAATTAGCTTAAGGCCTTTGAATGCAATGTTACATAATGGGTTGTTTAAATTCCATTTGGCTCGACAGTGACAGAAAGAAGTCGATCTTTGCTGCTAAACTCCAGCTTCAGTGAAGAATAAAAGAATACAACTAAGCGACACACAGAAACACACTCAGTGCCCTTGTTGATAATTACCTCAAATGCCACACTGATATGTGGTCACTCTTAAACTCACTCCTTGAAAATGTCACTTTCTGTGGAAATGGCAACAAACCGCATTTGACACCAATTGCTGCTTCCACCACTTTCAGTAATGACTGCAGGCCTGTGACTCAGAGCAACCCTGATCTGTTGTGTTTTGACATTTCTGCTATTTCTGTGTACTTTCCTTTTATGATGCATTGTTGGTTTTTGTTTTTTTTATATTGTGTTTTAGTGTGTAAAGCTAGATTGTGCTGCACACATTGAATAGTGTGATGTCTTTCTGTGTCACGTCATCTTGTGTTGTGCTGAGCTCCACACACTGTGTGCCCTGATAACCGGTGGGAGGCTGACAGGTCAACAGCCTCCCACCCCGAGGCAAGAAGAGGCTTGTCCCTAAAAAAGGAACCATACAGTAACAAAGAAGGTGGAGGTTACATCGTGGGGTGCGATCACACCTTCTGTCTATCAGCCACTTCATCACAGGTCGGACTCACGTGGCTCTCCCCTGTGTCTAAAACTGAGGGGGTAGTCTATCCTATGCTAATGTGGACTCAATGCAACTTTCCAATGCTAAACATGACCTCAGCCTGAGGTAACTGTACAAAACTGCACCAACATTTTTTATTTTTGCGAACAGGGAGACATGTATCAGAGCTCCCAAAAACAGACTGCTACTTTGGTCTTCCGTTCAACATTTTCTTCATATATTCTTTATTTATTTGTAACTCCTCAACAAGCACTTTCACTGGTCCAATCATGCTGCATATCAGTGTATACCCGACTGTTAATTTGACATGCCTCAAGCTAAACTGATGATATGTTCCACAATATAATAAAGTTGTAAATCTGACTGTATTTTAATTTATTACACTGAAGGATACAACAAACCGAATGCAACTATTAATGAGGACCTTATTAGTGCACAGAAGCAGGGCTTCAAATGTGAGTCTTAACCCATTACAACTTTATAATTTGCCCCATTTTTAAGACAATTGCATAATCAAAAAAAATAACGGGAAATGTAATAATCTTGTCCGAAGGTGTAGTTCTGTTCTTCCAACCATGCGGATAAATCCAATAAACAGGCAAAGGGCTGGCTACTATACAGCACAGCTCATGCATGAAAAAAGCAGCATTACTCATCCAACAATCATATTTTAACAATAGGTGTAACTGTTATTTTTTGTCAAGCAATTATGAAATATTAAAGTAATTTACCTCTTCATTTTGAAACTGTGTCAGTTTTCTTAAGAGTCTCTGCTTGCTGTGTGTGACCTTCTTGATGTGTGATGCACAGCGTGGTGTTTAGCATGAAGACGTGGGCTGATTAATAGAGGTCCACTTGCATAAATTAGTCCTATTTTCTCTCTCCCTGTCAGTGTGTTTTTTTTCTCCTACTGGGTTAAACATAGTGGAAGTTGACACACTGCAGCTGAGAGGCGGTAGGGAATTTGAGAGTCCCTGGGGGGGGGGGGGGGGGGGTGTTACTGCTATATTGTCATGGGTCACAGTGGCAGTATGAGAAAGCTGTAAATGGGGTCAGGGCTGCTGACAGAAGAGAAGATTCAGCTAAGGATGATGGTGACACAACGCTTTTACTTTGACAAACTGGTGTAAACGGGACCTCGGCTGGTTGTTGTCTTGTCTCCTGTGATGTAAGGTGTTGTAAAAGCAAATGTAGTTTTATAGCAAATAGGTTTTGTTTTCTGTTTCTGTATTAAATATTTTTTATTCCCACTCTGGTTGACAGGTCACCCTATGAAAATGTTGAAACAACATCCTGCCTGAGCCTTATCTTCATTCATAGATACAGTTAAATCGGGGTTGTGGTGCCTGTTATTCACTGTAGACAGACACTTTAGTTTTACCATTAGTTTCACTGGAGAGTAACCACTATTGCACTTTAAACATTAGTAAATATGTGTACATTTTACAATCCATAACACTGTCTCCATCCACTTGCTTTTAGTATTTGGATTCAATGTGTCTCCCTGTTTGAATTAATATTTAGATTTGTATGAGCACATGAAAACACAATTTGCTGCTTAATAGGGCATAAGTACATATATAAAATAATAAAGCTAAAGCCAAAGCAGCAGAGTTTGATGAAAAGGGTCATTGTCTTTTGTCTATTATAAGTATTCATAATAAGGGTGCATCATTAAGGCATTGAACCAGACTTTTTTATTTTAGTTGGTCTTGACTTAACTGGAAAAAAGCAATAATCATTTCCTTTAAGGGATTTTCACAGACTCATTCACTTTACCCCGTTGTCATACAGTCCAGACCTTTTATATCAATGTGCATTCAAACTATGGAAAGATTGTCAAAGCTTATGAATTAAATACAAAATTGATAATTGATGCCTTACATAAGAACACAAACTTAAATCTTAAAATGTACAGCATGCAATGGCAAATGTATAAAAGTATAAATGATAGGCTATAGCAAAAACTTGCAAATCCCAAACATTACATTCAGTATTTGATAAAGCTGTTATTGTCTCCACCCACTAAACGTCACAACTCAACAGCTCAGCTGTCAAAGAAAAGTTTCTCTTTAATCTTCCAGACGGCCAGCAATCTTGCACTTACGACTTCCCCTGAAGGCAGCAGTAGATCGAGCGCATGTGGAGGAACGACCGGAACTTTATTTAGCCTTTAGTCCTGATTATTTTTTCCTGATAGTTATTTTCCTGAGCTGATCTTCTCGAACTTTGAGGAGATTCAGTAGAGTTTTTGTCTTTACTTTTACTAAAACCCGAAGTGAGTGGCCCAGTGTCAGGCATGGCTCCCCGGGCGGTCTGGCTCCTGCTCGCGCTGTCCGGTGTCCTGTCCGCGCGCTCCTGCTGGGCTTATAGCTGTCCGGCCATCTGCCACTGCAAGGCCGACACTCTGCGGTGCAGCAGGGACACTCAGCTGGCCTCTCGGGCGGTATCCCTGCCTCGACTGTAAGTAGCCCAAATCCCTCCAGCTTCAGCGGTGACAGTAGACAAACCTCTGTGATCCCCCTGTAAGGGTCTGGTGCTTCCCACTGCCACTCAGTGTTGGGCAAGTTACTTCCAAAATGTAATATATTACATATTACTTATTACTCTCTTTTCAAAGTAATAAGTTACATTACAATATTACTGTCTCTGAAATGTAATGAGTTACACTACTTTAGTTACTTTTTAAGTTACTTTAGCAAAATAACCGCAAAAGAATGGCTAGGTATTTTAAATGCTAAAATGTAGTTTAGTGCAGCTCATTATACATCCAATGAAGGGCAATGTGGAGCATAACAACTGTGTAGGCCCTTAAGGCTACTAACAACTTGTACACGGCTTAATTGAATACTCGATTCTGATTGTAAATTCTTAACATGTGACACGTTGTTAATACAGTACAGACCACTGTCAAGGACTAAAATGAAGGTTGCTAAGGAAAGAAAGAGAAAGGAAAATAGGTTAAAAGACGGAGCGCTGGACGTCAGATAAATTACCAGAAGAAGGCAGAGAGGAAGTGAATAATAACAGGACACGGAATGGTCTCTGAAGTTTGTTTAGTATATGGCCGTGTACAGGCCCGGTTCCAGAACAAAATGACTCAGGGTGCCTCTGAGATTACAGGCGGCGCAGTAGTAGTAGGTTTACATGAGCAATAGTGACCGGCAACAGCAATGAAAAATAGCATTGATGATCCCCAATGAACAGATTATGGCATTTGTTATGTTTTGAAACCAAGCAAGTGAGAACATTTAAAGTGAGTTAAAAGTGCAATCCTGAAATATTTCATATAGTCCAAAGAAAAGCACAAAAGCTTCAAAACTGTACTGATAAAACAAATGAGAACATATTGTAAATCAAGGCAAATATTATTTGAACCAGCTCATGGTTTGAAATGGCAAACATTGAAAAGCAAAATTATTATTAAAACCATGTACTAAATCATCACCTTGGTCCCATCATATACTCTGGGAAGAGAACATTTACTGTCCTTGAAAACTGGTATCACATCATCATGTGAGGTTGACTTTGTGACCTGGAGAACATTTCAGCTGCAACATTAGCTCGTTGATAAGCTTGGGATAAGATAGTTTTGTAGCCATTCGTGGTGAAGGCATCTGTGCTATTGTATGCATTATTTTGTACCCAACATTTCTACAGGCATGGCAGAATATGGCACTATTTTCTCATGAATATTCTAGCCCTTGTCTATTTGTATACCACGAGCTGCAAAATGACCACCTAACCCCACTGTACAGGCTGGTACTTGTTTAGATATTCCTGGGCAGGCTCTGTTTTGCCGTGGTATCCTGGCTGGCACCTGCGGGCCGCAGAGGGGCTGCGTAGTTTCGGGCAACGAAGAGTGCTGCTCCGGGGTTGAGGGCGGCGAGTCAGGCGGGGAGTAAGCTAGTGTCCACAACGGAGGGTCACGTGATGTCCCCATCTGGCCTGTTGCTACGGTCTGCAGTAGATGCAGTGTTGCTGGCGTTTAGTGATGGTTGCTTTAACCATTTTCATATAAATGATTTTCCACAGATGTGTGTCACTGCTGTGGAAGCACTTTGGAAATGATGCACGCGCAGCGGAGCAGGTCACGCGCACCTGACACAATTTGTTGTTAGTATTTTTCGCTCCGTTCTCTTTTTTGAATAGAGGGTGCATAACATTCAACTGCCCCGAAGATCCCGACGCGAAGCCTGAAGGGTAAACACCAGGTTTACTAATCTACCCGCACAATTTGTCTGGTGTCGGAATGTCTCGCTATGTTAGTACATTGTTAAAAAACAAAACACCATTTAATTTCGGGTAAAAATGTGTTGTAAATGCGTTACTGAGTATTGTAACGGGTAATATATTACCCACATTTAATTAGTAATGCGTTACATTACTTCGTTACAGCAAAAAGTAATATGTTGTAACTCCGTTACTTTTGTAACGCGTTACACCCAACACTGTTGCCACTGTGCTACTTCAGTGACTTTTACTCTCTCTTTTAGGACTTATTGTGTTTGGCTTGTCACTTACCATTTGCATTTCCCTCACTGTCACTGAGCTATTCATAGAAGGACTTGTTAATGAGGTTTTTCTTGTTAATTATCAAACTTGTACATTATTTTATCATAAGTGTAATTTTGAAAGATAACATGGATATCCATTCTTGATTGTGTAATTAATCATTTTACTTGTGAATCTCACAGAAGGTTCAGCCACCTGCCCATGAAAGAAGTCCCCACTCATGCTTTCACGGAGCTGATAAACATTACAGTAATGTAAGTTTCTTGTTTTTCCTTTTATATTTCAGTTGGTTCAATACATATATAGTACAAGTATACAGCTTTTGCTAAATGTTAAGAACTAATCAGGTCAATTATGCAATTTACATATACAATACAGTTAAAGGTGCTAGTCATTACAATTAAGTTCATTTGCTGATGCTTTTATCCTAAGCAACTTGAGGATTCCAGAACAGCAAGAATCATAAGCTTTGAAAAAAAATTATAGAATTTAGACATAACATTAAACTAAACTAAAAATAATACATTTTACTGACCCTGAAAATTGCCCTGGGATTTTAAAACAATTCTAAACTACTTGATAAAGAGTTGAATCGTACAAGTAAGAAATATTTCTACAAGCCACATTCACTTCACAACAGAGGCTTTGAAACGGGTACAACGTCTTCAAATGTTGAACGCGTATAATGTAGTTTTTTGCCATTATCTTTTGCTGTTTATGTGAATAAGCTTCTTTAAAAGACCTAAATATTGTTGTGTCCTTTCTTGTGAGGTGAACACTTGTTTAATAATATTCATTATTTCCTAACATACATCACACGTCTTCTACAGGAGATTACTTTCAATCTGTTTTTATCAAAAAGTAATGCACTTAATTCTCTAATAGCAGCTTTTAGGTGATATTTATCGTTCAGTTGTCAGAAAAAAGGTTTATCACTGTAGATGTGATTAAAATGTATTCATTTGGAGTTATCCTCCAAAAATATATAACGTGATTGTAAATGAGGGTCACCTGTTCGGACTCTTACACAGCAGTGTTCCTGCACATGTGGCTGACCTAATTCATCCATATACATCAGCCCGCCCACTCAGGTCACACATTGAAGATTGAAGATTCAACTTATTGTCATTACGTAGTACAGGTACTATGTAACGAAACAGTTTCTCTGCATTTTATAGTGTTAGGAGCAGTGGGCTACCATACGGCGCCCGGGGAGTAGTGTAGGGAACGGTGCCTTGCTCAGGGACACCTCGGTAGCACTTGGTCTTTCCTGGACTTGAACTGGTTTGTTTGTTTGTAGCCTTTATTTAACCAGGTGAAAGCCCCTTGAGATCAAAAGATCTCTTTTTCAAGGGTGACCTGCAGGACATTAGTTACACATGTAACATAAAAACAACAGAACAACAATAAGGATGACAAACAACATAATGTACAGGGTACAGTTTACAAACTCTATTTACAGAGACAGGTACTATATGAGTATCAAACAGCATGTCACCCAGCTGAGTTTTAAAATGATGCAGGGGAACCAAAGTGCTCAGTTTTAAACATGTTTGCAGACTGTTCCAATTTAGTGGAGCTGCACAACTAAAAGCTTTCTTCCCTTCCACTGGTGACCTTCCAGTTGCCAAGCCAAGTCCCTATGGACTTCGCCACAACCGCCCACATGCACAATTTACTGTCTGTCCCACGTAGGCCTACCCAGCTTAAGACCCGCGGTGATCGTGCGTTCGAGGCCGTGGCTCCTAAGCTATGGAACGCTCTGCCCGCTCATCTAGGTCTGCTGACTCTGTTGACTCCTTTAAAACTAATTTAAAGACATTCCTGTTTGGGCAGGCGTTTGGGTAACCGGTGTGCTTGATTTTATTGTATTTTATACTATGTTTTCATTTTGTTTTTATTGTGTTTTTATTGTGTTTTGGTGCTTTTATTACTTCTTAACACGTGGTCATTTATCATTGTACGATTCCTCTGATGATGTTTTATTGTTTTGTCCAGCACTTTAAAAGCGCTTTATAAATAAACTTTACTTACTTTACTTTTACTTACAGTTCAATTCAAGTCTCATTTATCCAGAAAACATGCGTTTTCACTCAAAACATACTATTTTAAACACTTGTAAACAGGCTCTTATTTGCGCATGCAGGTCCTTTGTGTTTTAAATAAGGTTGGAGAGAAAATGCCTGAATGCAAATTGAATACTTGAATAATTTGTAAATGGATGTTTTGATACAGCCTCCATTCACTTTAATTCATCAAGACTTATCTCCATGTTTGTATTCTTCGTTCACGATGGAGGCATGTCAGAAAAGCAATGTTGTCTTCACAAATTAAAGGTAAACAGGCTGAGTATTAGATATACAAATGTTCATTTTGTGGGTGATCGTTTAAACTTTTCAAAACCAGCTGACTTCAACATCTTTCCCCTTGAAAAGGCGGCAACTAACACAGGTCTATGTAGAACCAGTAAAAACGACAGTAAAACCCAATTAAAATATAAATATCTTGTAAAACAACAGAGAAATAAATAAATAAAAAGCACAACCTCTTTTCATCTTAATTAAAGATAGGTCTCCTCTTTATCATGTTTACTGCTACTAAGCACAAAGTCCTAAAGCCAGCATCCTGAATGGGTTTCAGTATTTCAATTATCATATCTCTAACAGTTTGATGAGCAGATAACGTGCGTTAGCCCGTGGTGGAATCATTTCAGCTGCTTTGTATTGAGTGTGTTTGACTTTGCTCTTCTCCTCAGGGACAAGTCTTATCAGCCTCAGATACTAGCAGTACTTCCACAATGTGTTCATTATGTTCAAATCTTGTGTCGAGTTTAAAGCGATAAAACTCATATGGGTTTAAACAACAGTGACCTTAGTCTTTTCAGCCATTAACACCTGTGTCAAGGTATACTGACGTGTGTGTGACAGTGGTGATGCAAACTCTAAATCAAGTCCTTGTCTGGATTTAAACGCTTTTTTAAAACTGTGTGGTAATTATGACACTATAATGCAATCAAAGGAGGTCATGAAAGTGAAAAAGTAAACAGTACAGATGGAGACACGTTTTTGTTTTGTTTTTTCATTTGAGATGGAGGCAGAGTGATGTTAACCTTAAGAAAAGTGTCGACTGATTACAGTAGAGTGGGGGGAAACGGTGATTACAAAAAGAAGGTGGAGGGCGGCTTCGAAGGAGAAGTCAGCCTCCATCAGAAAACAAAAGTGTTCAAGGACGGGTATAGAAGGCTTGTTGACTTTGCTTGTCTCATGAACATCTCTGTTTAGTCCTCCATTTTTAAACATCTTCACTTCCATGGCCCAGATGCATCTCTGATGTATGTTGGAGCTTTTCCAAACACGAGGTGAAGCATGTGCATGTAGTGCCCTAGAAGTGAGAACTGTTTTTGGCTGTATTTAAACATTTCCCTCATAGCTTTCTGTCCCAATATCAATCATCTCTGTCCTATTTCCAAATTAGGTGCATTGAAAAGTAAGCAAGGGAACTTTGTGTCACTTTTAATATTTTGATCTGAGGCATTTCAGGAGTTATTTGTTCACAGGCTCTTATTAATCTGTTGACTGATGTGAAGCCATGTCTTTGTGCCACAGTGTGATCTCCCAGAGCGACAGCATCACAAAGATTCAGCGACACGCCTTCCTCTCCCTCCACAGCCTGATTCAAATGTAAGCCACACTTTACCTTCCGCCGCATGTCAAATTCAAGCTGCACGATTAAAGCAATTATTCATTTGAACAGCTGGTACGTGTTTGGCATTGCATTTACCTTACAGGATTAGTCTCTCGTTATAAAGAGTGTTTAATCGTTGACTTTCAGAGCGGCTGGTGTATGAATGGGCTGTGTTTGTTTGTTGACAGCCACTGACAGCTATAGTGTAATTACTGATGCGCTTTCCTCATTTTTATTCCCACAGATCATTGCAGAATATCATCAGTCTGAGGGTTATTGAAAAAGGGGCCTTCACTGACCTGCCCAAGCTGGAATATTTGTAAGTAAAAAAAAATAGTATCAATATTCTCCTATTTAAAACCCACCTAACAGCAGGTGGGTCAGTCAACAAAACGTTCTTCATCTCTGCAGTATAGTGTGGATTTTCAACCACACGCTGAGTTGATGTAATTCAGCAAAATCTGATGATCTACTAGAGCAGGGGTGTCAAACTCAAATACATAGTGGGCCAAAATAAAACAATATGGGTACTAGTCGAGGGCCGGACTGGTTCAATGTTTATTGCAGAACTTATTGAAATGAACTTATTGCACATATTAAACCTGGAACTAACACAGCTTAAATGATTGCCTATAAAAACAACATTAAATAATCAGTTGCATTCATTTCTTATGGCTCTATCTGCAGCTTTTCCGGAGTCATTTCTTATGATTACATTTTTCCACAGGCCAACAACAGCTTCAAAAAAACTATTCCCCTCAAAGAAAAAACCAAACATGCCCTGTTGTCGTGAGAAAAAAAGTGCAGAAGGAAACATCCATTGAAACTCAGTTTGCTGCTGTGATGCTAGTTCAAACCAGATACTTGGCATCTCATCTTGGGTGCAAGTTCATCAATGTTTGGGGTCAGGCTCTGAGTGGAGGAAATCCTCAGGATTGAGTGAAGGTGTGCGTGCAATATACCGGCGGGCCAGATCTAATAGTAATTAGAAATTATCCTGCGGGCCGAAATTAAATCCACCACGGGCCTGATTTGGCCCCCGGGCCTTGAGTTTGACACATGTGTACTAGAGTAAAAGCTGTAGAAATCTTATTTGAATAGACCTTAAATGAAATAATGTATGCAGTCCAAGTCAAAAATACATTTAAAATCTAGTAATCCAAATCCTAAATACTTCCAGTAATAAACAATTTTCATCATGGAGGGAAAACAAGAAAGATGAAAAAAATGAAATATTGAAGATACAAAATAAATATAAATATGACTGTCCGACAATGTTGAAGAACATATAACATTATAAAAAACAAGGACATTTAAGGAAAACAAACTGCAAGATAAACTGGGGGGATGAGAAAACGTGTCAAAGGTCACGAGCAGACAGGGACATGATGTGTTACTGTAGATCTGAACTGGAAATTCCTCTTACTGATAAAGAAATCTGCAAACCTGTGACATTTAACAGACACTTGTAGCAAGATTTGTCCTCATCTGCTCATGATTTCTTCTGTCTGCTGCTTCACAGGAGCATCTCTAACACAGGGCTGACACACTTCCCAGACTTCACAACTATCTCTTCCCTGGCGCCGTTTATCCTCCTGTAAGTCATCACCTTTAAAAACAGTGCTTTATAAATTGGTTTAATATCTGTCTTCATGTTGCAGAACTCCATGTTATAACTCCAAGTTTATTCCGAGCCCGCTCATACTTTTTATAAATGTGCTATATAAATAAAACTTGATTTGATTTATCTATCAATGCCACATACCACCCGACTGTGTCAGTTCATCCAATGGCTCTTTTTTTGAACAAATGTGCATCATTTTGTCTAACTGATGATTAAGCCAAACAGCCTGAGTGAAGGTTATCTCTCCTGTGTGCAGAGAAATGGTAGAAAACATGGGGATCGACTTCATTCCTGCCAATTCGTTCCAGGGTATTTCAGAAGCAGATGTAGACATGTGAGTACAGGAGCCACATACTTTTGTTACCCCATTACTGGAGCTCAAGGCAATAATTTGTCTCCATATGTCATCTCAGTCGTCTGACCTTGGTGATATGTGCTTTTAACAGCAGGTTTGTCACATTGTGTCCCTCACAGGAATCTGTTTAGAAACGGCTTCAAGGATATCAAATCTCATGCATTCAACGGAACCAAGCTCAACACCCTGTAAGCATTTTGATAATCTTGTGCTAAAATAGCAACAACAATACATGCCGATACATTAGGCTGGTGATAAGTATGCTCTTTAGCTCTAAGGCTCTTCTTTTTGTAATCATTCAAAGCTGAGTGAACCGGTAAACAAGTGTTATATAAGACTAAATAAAGAGTGGATGCCCCCTTGTTTTCTTGCTCTGCCCCATACTGCTGATAGTAGATGCAGATGAGATCAGTGCGGACACCATGCAGTCTAAAAATAATGCTCATCTTCCTCAGTGTCAAGCCAAGAACACACGTAGTTAATAAATGGTTTGAGGGCCATTGTTGGCCATTAATGTGTCACCTTAGATTTTCTTTTATATTGCATGTTAACTGCTAAACTATTGTTTGGACTTGAGGTCACTTTTGTTACAGTTGTTGTTTTCTTGTCTTTTGTAGGATTTTAAGAGACAACATGTATCTCAGTGACATTGAAGAAAATGCTTTTGAAGGAGTCACCGGTCCAAGTTATCTGTAAGTGACAAAGATTTAAGTTGGTAAAACCATTCAAATCAAGGAAAATGTCATTAACCCTTAGATTCATAAGTGGGTATTTTTTGACCCGGTGAGGGGGTTTTCTTGAAGTATCTTTGTAATTAAAAAATGTTATCATTTCATAGTCCAGCTATTCCTCAAAAAACCTGTTTTGGATATCATGCCATTCAAATGTTTTATTTAAATGTTATACATTTTAAGAAATTGTAATTTTGTATTACTACCCCAAGCTTCCATAAGTGTCGCATGCATTTTATATGGAATCCTATGGGAACCGTTGATTCTTATCACCTGTGGCTGTCAGGAATACATTCACTGTAGACCACATCACAAGTGACACCTCTCAGGAAGATTATTTTACACAGCAAGATCTGATACCTGTCAATATAATAATAATAATAAAAATAATAATAATAATACATTATATTTGTATAGGGCTTTTCAAGGACTCAAAATCAAATCACTTTACAATATAAGGGAAGGTTAGGGTGGGGGGTATAGGACTATCAAACTTGATCAACCGGCATGGATTGATGGGGGGTGGGGCTATGAGTAGACAAGAGGAGAAGAGATGAGTTTTGAAAAGGGACTGGAATACTGTGAGGGTCTCAGAATAGCGGAGATATTTGCATCAATATGTTCAAAACGTTTTCTTTATAACATTTTTTTTTTAAATTATAAAATTATAAATTGTGAAAAATTAAATATAAAATATTTCTAGTGAGAACCAAAATATAATACTAAATATTATACAAGTGATTTCTCTTAACCAAAATGGCAAAAATGGCATAAAAACATATTATTCTAATACGGGTCCTTTTTGACCCACTTATAGAAGAGTCTAGGGTCCAGTCACTCGTGCATCTAAGGGTTAAACAATCAGTGGTGGTAGACGTGTTATTGGGATTTGTTTGTAGTGTTTGTTTGCAACTGCAGCCAATAGCAGCTTTCAGTAAAAGCTTTTCAAAACCACCGTACACCTACCAAACAGACAGTCAGCAGCTAATGAGACATGTATTGAGATTGAACTAAAACATATAAATGATTTGCATTCAACATTTTACCAAAACTTGCTTAAAGGAGCTTAAAGGCATCATGATTTCTATTGCGCTAGAATTTGAAAGTACGCAGCCGAAAAAGATCTGCCCCTTCCTTCAGACTTCCTTACTGAGCCCCTCCTCCAACACACACGAACGCGCACATGACCAATGAGGGCACGAGATAAGTTTGTGCACAGATGGAAGGCTGACAGGCAGGTAGGCCATCCAGTTATTTTAGCCGGGCCGGCTGGTCGTGCTTTTTACAGTACTACGGCTTCCACAGATGAACATTTTTTATGTATTAATTGTCAAAGCATTTAATATATTTATTGCTATCGGGATGTTAAGAGCATTCCATGGAATATAACAAAAAGTGTTTCTGAAGTGAATTACCTACCCCACCTTTAATGTGGGATTTTGACATTGTGGCCTATTAACACAAAGCTAATTTTAAGCACTTTGTATGTTTTACAGCTGAGCAGTTTATTCTATGAAAAAGCATTTCATGTTGTACACTGAATGTATGATTAAATGTGAAATACTCCTCCAAAGTAACTACAAACTATGTCTGGTAAATGAATGTTGTGTATGAGTAAAATATATATTCTGTGAACTGTATATCTATCCCAGTTGAAGATGTACCAGTTCCTAAAAAGTTATAGACAAGAGGTCAAAACACAAAATCAGAAATGTATGATAAAGTTAAATACCAGAGAGGACAGACCTACATTCTCTATCTGTTGATGTTTGAATCAACAGCATTTAGGTTACCATATCTTAACTGGGCCAGTGAAGCATGATTAATATTCATAACCATGTTTATAATTTATTGTTTAAACATTAGGGTGGTGACAGCCTGTCTGTGTAAACAAACAACAAGGCGAGAAGCACTGCTGAATTCTGATTATTGAACAAATATCCCGGCCTGATGCACATGCAGTTCGCAAGGTCTCTGATTGCAAGTAACCTTGTGTTACAGATATCACATTTTCTTTTATCTTAGTTATGAATTACAGATGTGTGTGTGGTTATAACGGCCATGCAGGAAAAGCTAAAGGTCTTCCTTTTGCTCGTCCTGGGCCTAAAGAGCACCATCCGGGTATTTTCATGTTCAATGAATATAAGAAAAACAAGTACGTGAGGGAGCGAAGTCCTAAGTGTTGTTTTTCTAAAATGTGTTCAGCCCGTGTCAGTAATTACAACCTTTATTCTGCAATTACGTTTTTTTGTGTGAATTAGCACCTCTTGTAGAAAGACCTTGATGGCTTGTTGAAAATGAAAACCTTTAATTAGGGGTTTTCTGCCACTGTCAGATTCAGCAGAAAAATGCCTGAGATAGTTTTATATAATTATAAACAAAACACTAATGGCTCTTCCTGTTGGAAAGACTTTGTAACCCTCTAACAGTCAAATTATTGAAACACAATATCTCCACTGAAATTAATGTTTATATTTTCCGTGTTTGATGCAGGGATGTTTCCTTCACACCTCTGAGGTCCCTCCCCCGAAAAGGATTGGGGCAGGTGAGGTATCTGAACGCCAGCTCTGCCTTTGCTCTGAAGACCCTCCCCCCCCCGGAGAGCCTGGCCGAGCTGCTGAACGCAGAACTCACGTACTCCAGCCACTGCTGCGCTTTCGACACATGGCGGCGGAAACAAAGGTAACCCACCACTGCTCCCGGAGATATACAAATCCATTCACATCTGCACAAAGAACAAAAGCTCTGTCCTGTGAATACTGATCATCAGTAGTAGGAACAGCAGTTGAGATTACTGGCATTTTCTGTGGTCTAACATTTTTCTCTTTTTTATTTAAAGGGAAAGTGCCTTAAAGAACTTGTCAAAGTTGTGTGATCTCAGCACAACTGAAAAGTAAGTGACTTCACTGTCCATTAAGAGACTGTACTAAAATAATTGGTGTTGGGAGGGAGGTGCATTTTAAAGTTCAAGTTTAAGATTACGACATTATGGATACTTTTTCCCGGGACCATCCCATTCATTTTCAATGGCCTTAAAAGTGCATAGATTATTTGACATAGTTTAAACCTAATAGATTGATATTCTAACATAGCACCCACATTGAACCAATGGATAAGCAAAGCAATTGTAATTGGGAAAATACTTGGCGAAAAAAAAAATAACAAAGCCTGTTTACTTAATAATAATCACATCTCAATATTTTAACCAATGTCACTTCATCTGACACTTTTAATTTTAACTTCTAATAATTATATTAAACACAACTAACTCTCTGGATAAAGATGAACTTTGAGTCCCCGAAAATAAACATCCACCTTTATTGTTTCTTAAAACTGACATAATTGATCTAACGTTGGCTCACCTTAAAACATTCGAGTAATCTATTTAGAAAACAATACTATAATAAAAGACAAAACTTATCTGACTCCTCTCCTCTCTTAATTGTAATACTTTCACTTACGCAGGTCATTTTGTTAAATCAATGTTTCTGTAATTGTTTTTTACATATCTGTATTCTTCAGAGAGCCTACCGAAGATATTATGGATTTGATCGATGACATCACCTTTCAGTATCCTGACCTGGAATTTGAGTGTGTCAACAGCCCCTTCGTCAAGTGCACTCCAACGCCGGATGACTTTAACCCCTGTGAGGACCTGCTGGGCTTCCCCCTCCTGCGCTGTCTCACCTGTATCATCACGGTGTTCGCTGTGACCGGTAACCTGGCTGTTCTGGCTATGCTGCTCATCAGCAAACACAAGCTAACCGTCTCCAGGTTCCTCATGTGTAACCTGGCCTTCGCCGACCTGTGCATGGGGCTCTACCTGATGCTCATTGCCTTCATGGACATCATCTCCCGCCACGAGTACTACAACCATGCGACTGACTGGCAGACCGGGCCCGGGTGTGGAACAGCAGGGTTTTTAACGGTGTTCTCCAGCGAGCTATCAGTATACACACTGACAGTGATTAGCCTTGAACGCTGGCACACCATCACCAATGCCATGCAAGTCAACAAGAGGCTACGGATGCACCATGTAACGGCCTTAATGGGGGCAGGCTGGGTCTTCTCTCTGCTGGTGGCCCTGCTCCCTCTTGTGGGGGTCAGCAGTTACAGCAAAGTGAGCATCTGTCTGCCCATGGACATCGACTCGCTGGCCTCTCAGATCTACGTTGTGGCCGTGCTCATTCTCAATGTAGCTGCTTTCCTGTTGGTCTGCTACTGTTACATATGCATATATCTGAGTGTTCGCAATCCGGAGCACTCTACCCGTCTTGGAGACACCAGAATTGCCAAGCGCATGGCTGTGCTCATTTTCACAGACTTTCTTTGCATGGCCCCGATCTCCTTCTTCGCCATTTCTGCTGCCCTGAAGATGCCCCTGATAACCGTGTCCCACTCAAAGATTCTGCTCATCCTGTTTTATCCCATCAACTCCCTCTGCAATCCTTTCTTGTACACCCTCTTCACACGGGCGATCAGGAAGGACGTGGGCCTGCTGCTGAGTCGCTGCGGCTGCTGCAGCTCTGACGCTGACTGGTTCAGGTCGCCGACTCTGGCTTCACATCCCCACTGCAGTCAAAAAACACCCAAAACTAAAACTAACTCACTGAGCTTCTATGCTTTTCACATCAAGATGAAGGATGGTTTTCTAAAAAAAGGGGCCACATGATCAACACTGAGAACTGTATCATGATTGCATTGTATTATGAAGGCAGCATTTAAGGTCAGGGTGAAGAGATTCTCTGTCTTGTACATGGAAGGCATCAGATCAGATTTGATCTCTGTTCATTTACAAAGTGAGAATTTCAGGTGCTGCTGCCTCCTTTTCTGCACATGTGAGGCGGTACAAAGAAGCAGATGGAGCAAGCAGGAATGGGGGTGAAAACGGGCCAGTTTGTTTGCAAAGGTGTCCTAAATCATGGATTGTTATTGTTATAATGATCCGAAAACTGTAAAAACAGACTTTGTGTAAGAGACAAAGAGTTCTAAGGATGAGTTTTGATTGATGTTTTAATCCTTATAAAGGTCAAGATTTTTTGTTTGAATATTATGAGGTAAATGTGACCAAAGGAAAGTATTTTGCTTGCTACAGATGAGTTTTAGTGCCATCTATTGTTGTGTTGATGTACTCAGGAGACATTTGGACTTTAAGACTGCAGCATGTCACATCAGCCAAGACTCTGGGGCCGTTTCTCAATCGTGAGTACGCTTGCTTGGTAGCACATGTCTTCCGAGTCACTTCCTTCAGAAGCTAGGCAAGAATCCTTCCTGGCATTCGGAAAACGAAGAGTGGAACAGGCTAGCAAGTGTGCAGGTGTGCGTCATATGAGAGGCCCCGCCTTACATTTTCCGCCACAGATTTAGGGAAATTGGTCCGTGCGCAAAGCATTGTGGGGATTTGAAGGACGCAAAGTCTACCCATGTGCAGCCTCGAAATTTCCCCCAAACCAAGGACGCGGCCTCTGTGGAATTCCAAGTATGCTGGACATTGGAACCGTCCTGCTGCGCCACTTGATAACGTAGCATCCTTGAAATATTGGCTTGGAAGCCAATATCCTCGCGATTGAGAAACGGCCCGGGTGTTTCTCAATCGCGAGTAAAGCTGCTGCAGAGCCACTATTTCAAGCATACTACGTCATTGAGTGCCGCCGAAGTACTATTCCAATCTCCAGCATACTTGGAATTCTACCGAGCCCGGCGTACTTCGTTAGGAGAAATGTCGAGGCTGCACATGTGTAGACTCCGCGGTCTTAAAATCCCCACAATGCTTTGCGCACGGACTAATTTCCAAATCTTTGGCGGAAATCACGATCCATTTAAGGCGGGGCCTCCCATATGACGCACACCTGTTAGCCTGTTCCACAATTCTTTGTTTTCCGAGGCTAGGAAGGATTCTTGCCTCGCTTCTGAAGCAAGTGACTCGGTAATTAAAAATGCTGTTAAAATGTCCTCGATTTCCACAATGAGACATTTTGGAAATTTTAAAAGTGTGGTAAGTTACTTATGCTAACTGTCTTTTACAATGGGTTTTCTCATTTAAAAAAAAATACTACTCGGCATCTTAGAAACTTTTGTTTGGGTTCTTCCCGTCACCACTGCTGAAATCCAGAGATAGGATTGTATCTACTGCTGTAATATTTATTAATCTAATCTCTCTCTGAAATCGTACTTGATAAATATGCTGAAAAGACACACATTTGCATAATTTCATTGAACTCTAGGATCTGTGTGGCACATTACATTTGAATCTTTTTTAGGAGATCTGCCCTCTGATTTCATATCCTGTTTATATTCTACCCTCCGATTGAACTTGGAAACCACTGCTATGAATTGCTTTTACTATGTGTGAACGTGCAAACTGCAGTTCAATATTTGAAGATAGTGTTTAACAAAATGTTAAAGAAAGAAAAAGGCCTACACCAAAGAATGAAAGACCCACTTTTAGTTATTACTGGAGCTGTCACACAAGCCTTTATGTTTTCGTTCAGCTGTGAGAAGCTAGTCGAGTGTTTTTCTAAAACAGTCACACATTAAATCGATTGTAGTGTCCATGCTGGCTTTTATAAATGAACTGTGTCGTATTCCAGTGAATTTGCATGCAGCCGTTTGGTTCAATAGTGAAAAGAAAACAAACACACTTAGTTCATTAGGTAAATAATGTAACAAGGCAACAAAGGCTTTGTCAGGGTTGTCAGAAAGAAAAGGGTTAATTGAATGCAGCACAACAGTGCAGTTCTGTGTATTTGAAGCATAATTAAAGTCAAGGCATTACTACAAATCAAACAGCAAATTAGGTACCTTCAAAGCAACATGATCATGACAGAAGAAAATATATTCCAGGTCAAATAATCTTTTGCTCTACTAATAAAGAAAAGTATTTTCAGGTAAATATTTAACAACAGAAATTCATGCCGTCTGTCTCAGTACACTTTATCCAGAAGCAACGCTGAATGTAATTGGTTGTTACATTTTAAATGACTTGCGGTATTGTTCTGATAATTACATAATGAAAAACTAAAGTATCAGTGATTTCACACAGAGGTGTTTAACTGCCTTCTCTGCGAGCCAAATGACACCACCAAGAGGTCTAAATTCACTGATTATTTTTCCCTTTTGGATCAGTTTCCCGTCGCTCTACATGATGATCTGATGCGTTGAAGAGTGCTGATGCTCATCACCACTCGGCCTCTCCGACAGCTTTAGAGAACACGTAGTCCCTGCCTCCGTAACACATCACTCCGTCTTTCAAATGAAACTTCCAGCGGTTCTTGCTGCGATGGATCTGCAATAGAGAGAACACATTAAGTCAGTAATCATGCCTTGGGTTTGTTGAGAGGCAAATGATGGCCAATGTAGGGGCGAATTGTTCCTACTTTGTCATACTGGCAGACGATTACATTGTCAGTGTCAAAGAGATCTGGGATGTCCTGCTCGTGCACATCATCGCCTGAGTTCAAAGGATCCTAATTGATAGGAAATACAAACTATTTAATTTTCCAGGTAAATAGCCACAGACCATCTGTTTCTTATACAGTGGGGAAAAATAATCAGGATAACATGTACATCCAGCTTAATCTCACTAACCTCTTCAACTGCTTCGGCGAGATCTGCTCCCTCGCTGTCGCTGCTGGAGGAGACGCTGTTTCCGTCGCTGCTTCCCTCCCCCTCCTGCAGGGCCTTTATGGCCTCTGCGTTGATTATACCCAGAAAGTCGTTCTCTTCCATGGGACCTCCCTCTTCCTCCTCCATGTCCGAGTTCCCCGCAGGACCATCCAGCTGAACGATGTCCGACAGCTCATTGTAGTTGAAGTCCAGGTCCAGCTTAGCAGGAATTGCGAGAAAAAATAAGTAAACTGTTATGCCATGAGATTGTAATTTATTTGAATAATTCAAGATTTGACACCTGAACTGGCTTGAGTTAATAGCACAGCAATCTGTTTTATAGCAGTAGAAATGTAATGCCATTAATGTTGATTGAGTCAAAACGTCTTGAAACAGTACATAAGTGCTCCCTTTATGGTTAATTGTAACATTTATTTTAGATGTATTAAAGGGCAACCTCAACTATTTAGTATTGATCTTCAATAAAGTTAGGAAACTCATTAAGTTAAAAACAGTACGTTCGAAACCAACAGAGGCCAATTGGTCATAACCTCCGTCCCTAGTATCCTCATGCTTCGAAAATGCTGGATCCTACACTTCCTACGATGCAGTTCACTGTCATTTATTATACCCTCTATACCTGGTAAACGTCTATATTTTTTTATTTTAAGTACAAACCTCAACTTTGTAAAAGTAGTTAAGTTTCCCTTTAAAAAAAATAGTCCAACAGAAATACATTATACGCTTTGAGATCAACAGCCCTGTAGCTTAGCATCAAGCCTAGAACTCCAATCCAAGAAATACCAATAAATTAATAATTATTATTAATTAGTGAGCTTTAAGAATGCTGGAGGACAAATTATGTTTCCTTTGGACAGACCTAGAGTAGCAATTTCCTCCTGAATCCAGGCTTTATGCTAAGCTAAGCTAACCAGGTGCTGGCTCCGAGTGTATATTCGTTTCAAATTACCCCAAGAACAGGATCAGACTGGTTGTCATTCTTAGCTGGCGCTAGGTTCCTCGCCCTTTCTGCCTTCTCTCTCTCCTCCTCAATCACTTCTTTCAGGATGTCATCAATGTCTCGGCTCTTAAACTGTGCCGTCTGAGTCAAAGCCTCCTCGCTGCTGATCTGCTCTAATAACTGACTGCAGGGTGAGGCGTTCATACTGAGGTTCACAGGTTCGCGTTGTGGACTCTGCTCATTTTCTTCCAGGTTGATGTCTGGCTCTGGAGAGCGGGCCCCTTGAAGCTGCGATGGCTCAGCAGCAGGAACTTGAGGTGGTTGGGGGACACTCTTCTCCTGACAAGGGGGGATATCAACCTGTGAATGTCGCGGCAGTTGAAGAGAAAAAGCTGGAACAGAGGGTGGATCCACCTCCTGAGGCCGAGTGGTTTTTGGTGGGACAGTAGATGACTGGGGGGCAGGAGCTTCCCTCCCCACAAACACTCTCTGCATGGTTCGGGATATAAGAGGCTGACCTGCTGGAGCCTGAGTGACCACAACAGGAACGTTGACCTTGTAAAGTTGACCTCAGTGACACAAAAATATCTGCAATTAGTACAAAAAAATAAAACATATTTATGCCAATAAATAACAGGTACATTTGTTGTGTACCAGAGGCGGTTTGAAGAGTGACTCCAGCTGGTATCTGCACAGGGTACGATAACCCAGCAGGAAGAGAGAAAGTAGCAATTGTCTCGGAGTTGGTCTGAAATGAAAAAAACATAATCAATCATATTAAAAAAGGTAATGTTTTACATTAACACTGTAATAGTGTCTGATGGTGCTTAAATAAGTGTAACAGTTTTCCCTTTGTCTCAGTCCATGAATGATGTTCAGGTCATTTCACAATATAATTTCAAAAGTGTTTTTAGGGTTCATAATTACCGGTAGAAAATTCAGGTTTTCAAATATGTACTCAAGTTGGTCAAATTCCATAAGTAAGTATCTGATTTTAAATCAAATCAAATCTATTATAAATTGAACAGAATTCATTTTTCAATTAAAGTTACCGGCAACCAAATGAAGCCTAAATGTAAACAATCACACAATTTGTCAAATGTTTCATTGTTTTATTTACTTTTTAACAAGAGAGGAAGAAGTATCCCAGAGGCAGGGTTAGGTTTTTTTTTGCATTTTGCTGCCCTCAGCAAGATTTTAGCACACAGAAGCTGTATACGTTTTTTGGGAGTTTGATTTATTTTAAATTAACACAAATACAAAATTAAAACCTATAATTGCACACTAAAACCATTATTTAAAAACAATTATTATTATTATTATTACAATTATTTTAAAAAGAACAATTTCACATAAACCTCTGAATTTTACTGGGGCTGTTCAAATTGATTTTGGGGGGGAGGGGGTGCCATAGTTTATGGGCGCTGTACGCAATATAGGCGTAGTTATGTTAGTATAAGATAATAAGATGTACTTTGTTGATCCAAAATCGTGAAAATATTTATTTAATTTTTTTCTCCCCAATTTCCAGCGCGCCCGATGGGTTGATGCGCCCTTAGCATTCGCCTATACTGCCTGTATTAAGTGATTACATTGACAACAAAGAATATCAGTTGCTTTTTACATTTAACTAAGTATGGTTATGTTTTGCTTTTGTATGTGCCCCTGACTTCAAGAGCTACATGAGGACATGGAGGCGATGTCCTGGAAAGCTTGATGACACTTGCCTTCATTGGGAAACTGTGGATATTGTGACTCGCAGGGATCACAACTGAGGCTGAGAGAAAAGAGCAGAGAGCAGAGCAGGTGATGCAAATATCAAGCAAGCATGAAGCAGTTCATGGCAGAAGCCTGCTGTGTTACCTGTGAGTTCTTGATCTGTCCGACTGTAGCTGGCAGGGAGCTGCAGCACAAAGTTGGATGAGTTGATATTATTTTTTCTGAAGTCTTCCATTGCTTTTGACTGCATCATCTTTGCCTCCCAAAGCTGCACAGCAAGAAAAAACAGCAGTCTGACTTCTTGCTATGCTGTAAACTTCCTCGCTAGATGGACTAACTTTACTGGAACTGACAGCTTGAGTCAAGATGAGAATAATATCTATTTTTAGAGATAAATATGGTTATGAATGAAACTCACATGTCTTAAATCATCCAGGACGCGGTCTTCAAGCCCTTCATCCAAAAAGAGCTCCCGCATACTCTCAATCACATCATCAATTATGGACAAGTAGAGTTTGGCCTGCAGTTATTTTCAGAAACTGCAAGTCAGAAGCTGTGAGCCGCTTGTGATTTGTGTGTTTTGATAAGCAATATAGGCTACACAATTCCCAAAACGTCAATAATTCAATTAAGAGTGTGCTACATAGAAAGCCATGTGAACTAATTGATAGATTTTACAAAAAAAGAAATGGCCTTAGTACATGATTGATTTTCCTCCACTGAGCGTTACCTTGAGGCTCAGAAATTGCCTAACTGTGCTGTCTGGAGCGCTTTTATTATGCTACTCAAGTCAATGTACATACAGATACAGGCCACACACACCAGTGTTGCTAGTAGTTAGCTCATAGCAAAAGTAGCTTAAAAAACGTTGCTTACCACTGGGCCTGTGTTGTTGTTCAGCATGATTCAGGGCAAAAATACCTTCTAGTCGTCGACAGTGGACTTTGGCAACATAATACACAAAGCTAACGGTGATACAGTCACATTGTTTTGCTCGCACCAACTTGACGTCAAGTGAACACAGGTGGTAATAATCAAGCTCCACCAAGAGTTGTGATTGGTGCAATGACCGCCATGTTTGTTTAGTTGGTCTCAAAGCAGCCTAATTATGACTTTTACAATATGTTTTTAATAGTAGGCTATAGCCTAATGTACTAATTATAACACAATTTAATTATTATTTGTATTTGTCCTTTAAAAAAAATTTTTTTTTAAATGTTTAAATCTTTTTCAAGCTCTCCTTTAGATATGGTGGGGGGATAGTGAATAGCAGTAGGCCACTTTACATTCATCCAGAACCAACTGGGACCTCAACAACATTCATATGGCTGCTGCAGTGGTTTAGTTGTCAGAAGCTCAAATGAAACATGTGGATTTCGATACTCAAACAGAACCTTTCAATATTTTAGTTTTTAAGTTACCCTCAATAGAATCGTCACACTATTTCACATGTTTCACTGCGTGCAGGGCTGAGTGAAATGTCTGATACCAAGAACAAACAATACCAGGAGTTAAAAAATTATTTCACAAGATTCTTCATTTTGAACTCGGTGTTTGAAGCAGCATCTGTTTGGTAATGCTGCCACTCTTTTAACTCACAGGTTGACTCATCTGATGAGGAGGAGAGTGCTGGGACTGAAAGCAGCTGAGGCACTCCTTACTCTTTATTCCCACATATAACTAATATAATATTATTTATGTTATGTCCATTTTATTTGGCCATACTAACTTCATTTAAATCAGGTATTTAAAAATGTTTTTTAATAGAACTTACTATGGCCGATGTACTGTTAGAAACACTGCCCCCTATTGTGAAGAACCAGAACTAACAACTAGTGGAAATCTAAAATGTTTGTGTTAAGAATCCAGAAATGTTTTTTATTGTGAAGGATTTGTTCCTACATGTTTTGTTAAACCATTTAGATGTATTGAGTGCAACTGTTTAACCCATCTTTAGAGTAAATACTGTCTTTAAAGGCATCTTTCAATTATAAGGTATACATTACATAAGTAAAAAAAACAAGTATGAATACCCGAAGATCTTAAAAACACATACAAACATTCAATCAACAGGATAGTGACTCATCACCATGGGTTCCCGGGGAAGTTGATCAAATAAAGTTAATCACACAGCAGCATGGAGGATTGGCATCAAAATAATTGTATTGAAAATCACAATGTCATTTATTGAACAGCAGCCTGCCATAACACTGCTGGGTCTCTCAGGTTCTCAACAAAAGTGTGATTAAAAGACGTTAATTTGCTGTTCTGACACTCGCTGAGGTGTGTGTTTCATTTATAATTATTTAGTTCCTTTTCAAATTAATAATTGGCATATTATTGTGGCATCATATGCATGTGCAGTATGTGGCAACACCTTGAACAAGTACTTTAACCAGTAATAAACTCAAAGTTAGTTTCTGAACATCTGTCAAGAAATATCACGAGTCATTCAGCTTTAATCAAAATGTTTACTCTTGATGTACATAACATCCAGCTTAAGCCAGGTACCTCATACAGAAAAGTCATCACTGAAGGCCTGTTAGCTCACTCTGAAGCTGCACTATTCTTTTGTATCCAGCCTACTCACAACCCAGAGGCAGAAAGATCACATAATAAAGATTTGATTTGTTTAAATAAAATACATTCCTCCAGAATACAATCTTAGTATAGTCAACGATCAGCCTGAGGTAAGCAACGCAAGTAATGAGTTGTATCTTTGTCAACACATTTGTGCACAGTAAATGTAGGTTAGTTAAAAACAAACCGGTTTCACTTTGTAAACGCACTTTGTCTGTATTTTGCAATTACCCTTCAAATATGAAATCATGTGTTTAACTCTTAGGCGTGTGCACTTGTGAGAATAATTATATAATGCTGTGCTTGTCTAATGTAGCTTTGGAGCTTTAATTATAGTTTTACTGCCGAGCATGGCTGCCAATTGGCATTGGGCCTGAGTGAGTTCAACTAAATTGCTAATAATTATGATTAAGTCCCTTTACACAAGTGCTGATCTGCAGGGCTCAGCATAATGTGACCCCCCCTTCGAACTAATGCAATTGTCCAACTATAATTACAACACTATTGTCCTTTTTCAAATGTCAAATTTGTTCTGAATCTTAAGGCGAAGCAAGGAGTTACCTACATATTGCCTTTAAGCATTGCCAAACAAAAAGGGCTGATTTTAAACACCTGCTGATTCATACCTTTTCTCAAATTCAGTGAATATTGCTCATTACTTAGTTGTTTATCTCATGCAGCCCATTGCATCTACATTTAATAAGGCTGCCAATCATTCTGGAGGGCAGTGCAGATGATGCAAATGCAAGCTTATATACAGTACTCATATAAACTGTGGTCATACAGTTAATAAAACTATTAAATGTAAAGTGCTATGCAAAAGGACCATCTTAAATGGAAGGATACATAATCGGTTAAGCTCCATCAGAAATACTAGCAGGCTATGTGTATTTATATGAATTTGACACCGGATGTAAGCAGAAAGTCACTCATCACCGTTACTTTTGATCATTTTGTTGTCATCCCTTTTTCACCATTGGGCAAATATCTTAGAGCAAAGGGGTAACATCGTCTTCAGAGAGTCTTTGATATTCATTGTGTCATACACCCGGATTGCTTCTGTGACTCTGTTTCAATCAATTTCTTCTCAACCTCCACCTAAAAAGAGACAATGAGGTAAGTTGAACATCAATAAACAGTTTTCTATAAAAAAAAATTAAGGTAACATTAAGCATGATAAAATAACACTGATTACCTGACAATGATAGCGCGTCCAACTGGTCACATTTTTCTGCGGCTGGATGTCGTTGGCAGTGCCCAGCGACTTCACCGTGGTTCCAGACACAACTGCGCCCATAATTTCACATTCCATCGTGACAAAAGGGTACCAGTCACTCGGGATCTCCTGATCAGATCCCAGCTCTAGCTTGCAGGAAAATGAATGGGGATGATCCACTGCTGTAGAGGGGAAACAAAGGTCACTTGTAGTTAGAGTGTCACACCAACAAGCGGAGAACATACTGTACAAATGCACGAGGAGGCAAGGCTAACGAGCTAGTGAGAAAATATGGATGGCTAAATTTGTATCTCTCAGGAATGTGTTACCCGTATTCTTTGATGGCAGTCGGTCGATCCTCCACACGACGGCTGAATATACATTCTCATACTTGACTGTGCCGATTGTCACCTGCATGACAGGCTGAGAATCTGCAGCGCCGACAGCACCCAAGCAGGCATTTCTGTTCATGCGGGACTTCAGCGACCTCTGCCGCAACAAGGCCGCTGTCTGCGTGACTTTGACCCATTCGCCTGGCACCGGAACACGGATCACTACATTCTCACACAGAGGGTTTGTGTCAGACACACTCCCCAAGGAGGGGAAGGTGGATGTCATGTTAAGAAAGGCCTGGAGCTCCACGTAGGCGCCTTGAACTGTGACAACGGCCTTGACCGAGAAGGGAATTTCTGTGCAACCCAGGATCTCCGTCTTATACCGCATCAGCTCCACCCTGCAGGCCTCGGGAGGTGCAAACTTTACCAGCCGGGACCTTTGAAACTCTGTCTCATTCACACATTTGTGGAAATGGCTATCTGCGATCTCCATCCACACTTCGCCGTCCTCCTCTGACCCGTAGCTGGAGTCAAAGCGCAGCAGGCCGAGATCGTTCAGGGCGAGAAAACAATCCCCTAGTCCGTTGAGGAAAGAGAGACAGTGAATCTGGGTGAAGGCTGTCCGCTCGATGACTTCGCCGAACTTATCTAGTTGTACCCAGATATGATCGGTGATCTGCAGCGACAGCTCCTGCTCCTCGTAGTGCCGCCTCTGCTGGTGGTGCAAACACAACTTAAAGATTTCCTCCTCCATGGAGACGACCAGGTCCTCCATGTCTTCGTGGGCTGTGGAGCCAAACTTCAGCAGCTCTTCTGCCTCCGCCTCATGGCTAACCTCCAGCTTGGGGTGGTACCGTTTCTTTTCTGTGTACGAGTAATGTTCCACTTTGACAGAGAGGACTTTGCGGGGCTCGCCGTAGCTTTCCAGTTTAAGATCTGAGAGCCTGCATTGGGGGAGAAGCTGGAACTCCTTGAACGGCTTCTCCAGCCCTTTCTCGTAGAACATCTGCAGCACGCCTCCCGGCAACAGGCGGAGGTAGATCGGCCCCCACTGTCGCGAGGACATGCGGTTCTTTTTCTCCGGAATCCGGAGCAAGACAGACCAGCCGTCTCGCTTTTTGCTACGAAATAGCCCTCGGGGAACAAACTGAGATGAATCCTCGCTTAACACCTCACTTTTGCATCTTAGCCGTCTCCCGCCGCCATTTTCCGTCTCTGCTTCCGTTGCTTTTAGCCCTTCCAGTTTGTGGCAAACGTAGGAGAGAGAGTTTTGGAGATGGTCACGTGGAGGCTCACTGCCGTCTTTGGTCCGAATGAAGAAACGCGGTAGGCTGCTCTGGGATTCCGATTCTGAGTCTGAGGAGGAGCTGTCGACATCTGCACTGTGTCTAGATCCATCCCAGAAGGGGTTATAGTGTCCTGAGTTTCCCTGGAAAGAAGGGAAGGGGCTTGGTCCGTCTGAGGTTTGGTGCAAGGCCTCTGGCGCAGGAGAGGGAGCAGAGATGGTAGATGTACTCGAGAGACTGCGAAAAAAGTCGTTCTTTTCCCACGTGTTGGAGTGAAATGGGGAGGCACCGCTAGGAACCCCACTCACGGGAGTGCAAAATGGTGTGTTACATGGTACACAGGAACTTCCACTAAGACTTGAGTGGCTTTGAGGGGATTCGAGAGAACTATTGAAGCTCCAGGAAGTGTCTCTGATTGGAGGAAGAACTAATTTCAACCCATTGGGACGTGGTAATGCTGCTTTGATATGCTCCGGTGACTGTTGGGGCTTCTGAGGGGATGAGAGTGGTGTGGTGTCATCTTCAAATGTGACCCAGTTTGAGTGATTTGTGGAACACATGCCTGTAGAGGACTGATGACCTGTTCAAATCAACAATTCCTCCTTTGTTGGGATGAATGTCCCCCTGAGGCCTTCTCCTCTGCAAGAAACAACAAATAGGAATTAAGAAATGAAAAATGTTTAGTCTTAAAAGTCATTTTTAAAAAGGTTAACTCCAAATATTCCTGGGGTAACACATCGGTCCTCAGAAGAAAGCTTGAGCAAGTGAATTTATCTTGTTGGCAGAAAGAGAGAGAAAGAGCTCCTGGGGATATCAATAAAACATATTTCCTTAAGGTACTCCATTAAGAAGTAATGAGAGACCAACCTTGAAAACCTGGAACGTGTGTACATATGTTAACATCTCAATTAACCACAGCAAGTACTCCGCAATGGTGTCAGAGAGGTGGCAGGAGATCTTCTTCAATTGACACTGCAGATTACAGCTTTTGTTGATTTTCAAGCTTTTTGAGAATCTTTTAGATAAACATTTATTAACTGAATCGTCTCGTAAGTTCACGGACACAACAGAATCAACCAAAGCATGTTAGAATTTCAACATAATGCCAGCTGATACATTTCTTTACTTGGATCATTTTTGCAAACAATACAGACAGAGATAGAGCACTGTAGCCTTATTCGACAGGCAATAACTTTATTTAAACGTTTTTTGAACGAAGCGAGGGGTATTCACTATTATACATTGATCCCTGGTCAGGGCAAATAAGACATTATTGACATTCTTTACTTGGTGTTATTCTAGATGGTACGTTCGGATTTTGTGTTACAAAACCTATTGATTTTCATGAACATCTTTTGCTTCCTTAGTTAAAGTAACTTGCAATAAACTTTATTAAACAATGTTTCAGGCCTTTCACCTTCTTCAGGTAACCCCGATCTACCTGCAGGGAGCCTTGCCTATGAACATGTTAACACTACACCTGTGTATCAGAGGAAATCACTCCGTGGCTTTTATTCTTTGCGGAGTGTATACTGCTTGAAAAAGTGGAGTACTGGTATTATTATCTTGATTCATGGGCGAGGCCAATAAAACAGTTATATGATTCTTATTGTAATTCTAAACAACACATTGCGAAAGATACTCTCTCAATCAAACCTATAGGAAAACAGGTAATTCTTGATGTCAACCAAATATACTCAACAGGTGAAATATATTTGCATCCAGAATTCTGACAAATTGACACTAGGTTTCTCAAAGTATTGCAGCACATAAAGGTAATGTGTTCTCTACTGGAGAAGAGAAGGAAATGTAAATGCATAGACAAGGAAATGTTCCCGCTTTCAAAATAGAAAAGTGTTTGAAAGTTCAAAAGGTTTCGTATTGTTAATTGATGAGCTAAAACGTTTTTCTTTTAGAAACACCGGGCTCTAAAATGAGCTGAGTTTAAATATTTCATTGCAAGCCTTCTCTTAATGCGTGCGCGAAAAGTTAGCAATGGCGGCAAAGCTCCTGCCTCATTACCCAGCATGCATTCAACTGTGAGAACCATCAGTAGCATGACGCTCTGGAAAGCTGGTTAAAAGGATAAGGCGCCATGAATGTTTTATCCTCGCTGATGTTAGATCTACAGAACATATTTCAATTTAGGTATTAAATGTTGTGGAATTATTGCTAAAGAACAAGCGTATTCAGGCTTATTAGCCAATGGGCAGAGAGTAAACATGTTGTAATCTTTATATAATCTCAATCACAGTGTGTTGTTTGATGTGCTGGCAGCTCGGCTCTCACAAACATCAGGCTCGCAAGACACAGAGAAGCTGCTTTCGTAATGTTGAAGCCTCATCTCCCCATAAAAATCGTGGAGAAAAAAAAAAGAAAGCCTCAATTACAGCCTTCCTCCTCCCTTCAAGATCACAGCCATGAGTTGCATAAAGGAGACATCCAGTGGCAAGTTTCCTTTCGCTATAAATAAACAGGGAAATGGGAGCTGCTCGATTCAGGGTAGAGGATTGACAAGTCTTCAGTCAAATACTTGAGGACATCTATCTAATGAGAGGGTGTTTTGCAATGCCACGCAGACATTCATTGAGTTCAACCCCGCCTCTGCGATTTAGAGAATCAGTCAGCGTTGGTTCAAGGAGGAGGATGAGTTTTCTGCAGAGGCTACTGATAGACTTTCAAACTCATTTCCAGTCTTTCTGGGTTCTACAGCAGGCGGTCCAGAAATGAAACGCTGCTAAATCTACAGAGGACAAAAGACTACATTCCACACATTCCTTGGGGACAAGAGGCTTTGCACACAGGAAATACCAGCCTGCTCTGTCCATGTGAACTGACAACAAATATTATCTTAATTTCATTTATCAAATAAAAAAAATGCACCATAAATATTGGTTTGTCTCTGGCTGTTCATGACTGCCAAACAAACCAGTGACAACGAAGGAGCCTGGGGATTAAGATAGGCTTATTACGGTCATTAGGTTTAATACAAATATAAATAAAACCATTCTGTCAAACTATTTTTACAACTTACACCGGTTTTTATTATCACCCCAAGTCTTGGGAGATGAGGAAACCTCACAATTTCACACTCCTATATAATGCAAAAACCTTTCTAATGAGGGTCCATTAAGACAAAAACGACGCTAATCACATGCATTATCTCTGGTTTATAATACCTGATTATTACTATACTTACATGAATGACATCATGACTTGCTGGGGTAGGCAAAAAACTGAACGCCCCATACACAACTACTTACAGTAAGTTTTATATTATAATTATTGAGGAAAGCTGAGTCACAATATGTTACGAAAAGATGCTTTCATCAGCTTTAAAAGAGGCCTGTCATCAAACCAAAACTCCAAACGGATACAAAAACAAGTGAAACTAGCAAACGCCAAAGTTATGGAATAATGTGACCACGTATCACAATCACACAGACATGTCAATCCAAAAAGAGGAACAGCAGTCATAAGCAGATACTAACCAACAGGGATGTTAGAAAAATAATGATACATCTTGGAATTCATAACTAAGATGAATTGCAGTGTTTGTAATGAGCATCTACTTCAACATTAAAGTGCATTTTCACAGGGGTTTTGTTATGTTGGTATTATCTGCTGTATTTCCTGTATTATTTGCTGTGACAGAAACAATTCCCTCAATGACAGAAAGCAGAAACAGTCGCCTGACAAATGATGACTGAAAGGAAACTTTTGTGGTTTAAGAATAAAACTGCAGTGATAAAAAAAATGTTGAACTTTAACATGGAAGACAGATGCTTCCTGGTTGAGATGAGTTCCTGTTGGATCCCCTGGATAGTTCCTATGCGTTCACACTTTAGAGTAGATAGTTTTCCTTAGAAAGGTCTGTATACAGAAAGAATAAGACACTATCCGTTTCCATTTGATGGGAGAGTACTACCGGTGTGACATAGAAGCTGAAATGTGATGACCTATTTACAGTGGCAACAATTGGAGCTGTCTGCAAAGTGAAACAAAGCAGAAGAGAAAGTTTGGGTGTCTCCCCACACCTAATAAGCACAATGAATACATCTATGTTATTTGAGATATATTATTTACAGTGCAAAAAAAAGCATGAATTGAACAAATAAACGGGAATGAATGAGGGACGTGTCAGCTGAAACACTAAAACAGCATGTCCACTATTACACTGCAAGCAGTTTACTCATTCAGTATAGTGAATCACTTTGAAACACATTTCAGAGCATTTTTAAAGCAACACTTTGAAAGAGGTCAAATGTCATTTAAAGATAATATCTAATTAAATCAATAAAATACAAAACTGCTCGGTTAAATACAGTCCACAGTCTTACTCGGCCTGGCAGCTTTTAGTTTTGAGATGTTAGCTAATGTTAGCACACTTTGCTAGTGGCCTAGATAGATATTGCTTTAAACGTTACTTTCTCATCTCTACTTTTTTTTTTATTGTAACACTAACTATTAATGTCACGTAAGGCTATGGAATTACACTGTATACTTTAGAGACATATCAAATGAAACAACTAACCAACAAAGTTGTGTTACCGATCATAGATAGCAAATCGAAATCTCAGCAAAGAGCCAACAATATCTACTTGTCACATCCTACAGTCTATGGTCACATCCTACAGTCTATGGTCACATCCTACAGTCTATGGTCACATCCTACAGTCTATGGTCACATCACATCTACTTGTGGGAAATAATTGTTTCCTCATAGTTGAAACATTGTTGCACTTTTGTTTACCACCAGTGATGGATAGTAACAAAGTACATTTACTCAAGTAGGCTACTGTACTTAAGTACAATGTTCAGGTAGCCTACTTGTATTTTCAGTTGTTGCTACTTTATACTTCTACTCCACTACTTTTTAGAAGCCAATATTGTACTTTTTACTCAACTACATTTATTTGACAGATTTGGTTACTTTTTAGGTTTAGATTATAAACTAAGTTAGATCTAAATCAGTTATTAAATACACTTTGAGATATACTTATAGGTTAAGATATATGTAAAGTTATTCAAATGAGCTAGAGCTACATTGACCAGGTGTGATAAAAACACATGGATAATCATAATAGTAACCCAGTAACTCAATATATAGGATTCTGAAATGGGCTTTTACGCATAAGGAGTAATTTTGGTACTTTAAGTAGTCTATATGTTGATGCCGACACTTTTGTACTTTTACTCAAATTAGATTTTGAATGCACTACTTTTACTTAAGTAACACACCCGAGTACTTCTTCCACCTCTGTTTACCACACACTTTCTGCAGCGTGGGGTCAGTGAAATGCCAGACAGACCCACGAGTCGCCGGTAAACGACATGTTTCTAGTCGCCCATAACAACTCTGGCTGGAGAAAGAAAACAGTACCAGCATGCTGTCACCCACAACACAGGCAGGCCGCACACAGAGGCCCACTTCTGGGATCACTCCTGCGCCTTTGTGCCCACGCAAAACCTGGGTAAAGTTGTCACTCACTTGTTTAGTTTGCACAGTACTTTGTGAGCACATCAAACGCTGAGCTGACAACACACAGAGCTCACGAAGAGTAAAACCAAAAGCGTTTTTTAAGTCGTTTCTAGCGGACGTGAACTATCTCAGCTCTCTCAAAAACAAACCCGAGTGCGACCAGAAGAGTGAAATACTCACATTTCACAGCGTTTCTTCTCGTATTCAGGCCATGACCTGGACGCGTATGTTTGTCTGTACTCTTTATGTCGGCCGGTTTTCCTCAAAATGGCAGAGTGTAAATCTTGGGAGTTTTAACAGCGCTTCCCCTCCCGAGTTCACACACACTGTCCTACAGCGGGACACTGCAGGAGTGAACATAGCGGCGCTGCGTTCAAGATAGTAGGACATTTCTGTGTCAGGAAATAGGCGCGATCATCACAGCAAGTAGTGAAACATTCTCCTTGAGGGTACATCATTAAGATATTCTTACAGTAAGTAAGTCTCCATGTGTTTTGATTAAATAAACCCATGTTTTGACATATACAAAATGTTATGATCGACAGTCTATGGTTATGATGAATTTAATACATTTTAAAGGTGAGGTTTCGTAGGCTGTATATCAAAACCCTGTCAAATGTACTTCATGTTACTCAAAGAATATGTAAGCATTAAAAGCAAACAATTAATAAAAGGCTTGACTTAAACCCATGTTTTCTATCTAATTAAAACGTTGGTCTGATGACAGTGCAATCACAGTAGGCCTACCTACAGGAGTTACTTCAGTAAAATGTACACAAGAAATAGAAAGGGGTGAGTCAGGATCCCACAGTTTTTCCACTTTGTAATGATGATTTATATTATTTGTAATAAACCAAATCAAAACCAGTCCTGTCATAGTGTGGCTTACTTGCAAAGTAAAACAATGCATAATTTCAAGCAGGGGCCAACAAGCAGGATATAATGGGAGAATACTTTCCCCTCACTGTACATCGTTGGTAATTGTTCCTCCTAATTCTGCAGCCTCTACAGAGGTTAAAATAACTTTTTTGTTTATCATTGTTGTCATTAATGGTCTAAAGCCCTTGAAAGCACAAATAAAGGGGGTTTATTATTTATTTGAACTCTGGAGTAGTGCACCAAGAGCATTTGAAAGCATCATAAATTCAATTAAAGTTGTGTTTCTGCCTTCGAATGCAAAGTACATCATCAAAAAGTAATCTTCCAATCCTCATACGTCCAGTTTAATGGTGTTGCCTCATTTCCCAGGGGACAGGGTGTGTTACCAGCTGTTTTTTGTTTTTAAAATGATGGGCGATTTAATATCCGAGTCTCCTCCAACTCCCAGAAACGCAGCACAAAAAGTCAACTCAGACATGCTCATTAATAACCAGCTGGCCAATATATGAATCATTTACATGTTGAACAAGCTTTTTATTTTGTTTCACATATTTATATGTGCTTTTGTACAGGTTACATTGTGAGAAGTATATATGTTTTTATCAGTAATTGGGGGTGTTGGCAAATCTTTATGATCAAAAGGTTTGCTGGCAGGTGTAAACTGGCCATAAGAATGTTCATAACCAAGCTGGGCTTTCCTTTCATTTCCTCAAGTCACTACAAGCCATTTTACTGTAAACATTATCTGCCCTCTGCCATGACTCAGGAATCAGGCTGTGTAAGCACCGGTTACAGACGGGTCCGCCCCTCTCAGACACTTAATCCTGCCTCACACACAAAAATAACTTGATTCATTTTTCAAAATGTTGTGGAAAATAAAAATGTGTAAACTTTGAATAAATGCCTTTGTGTATATACATATATATTTTTGGAAATTATACAGTACAATTATATCATGATTTGAAATGAGTGTTATTCATGTCAACCCTTTTTTCATCCATACACATTAAAACATGAATTTAGAAACAGTTGTGCCACAGCAGGTTTCTGAGTGCACATCCGTTTACTTTGGTAATGAAAAAAATACTTTTGTTCACAGAGACAGACTGACACCGTTTTACGAGCTCTGACTTGTCCATCGTACCCTTTTCTTCAAGGTAAAGAGTTAATCAGTGCTTCAAGGCAGACATTTCTTCCTGTTTCTCCACACCCACTGGACAGAACATTTTCCAACATGAGGAATGAATTCAAGTGTCTGTTAGCTGTTTGTTTAGGTTTCAAAGCCCTTCTTTACATACGCTTGTGATATATGCATGTGTTGTAAGAGGGGTATTATGCTGTATGTGGACATACAGGCACAAATAATCTCTAAACTTGATTACAAAAAACATCTAAGTGTAAAACAATAGTCACATGTTGTAAAGCCTGGTACACACATACAGCCACACCAACATTTACTCTGTTCGCCTGCTCTGACAGATAAGCAGTGATGATGCAATTTCATTTTCTCTCAAGCTGCATTAAAAGCAGGAGCGCACCGATTAACAGGGTTTGGTCTTCAAGGCTTGACATCAGTGAGCATAACCAACTTGAACTGTTCCTCCTGTTTATCTTTCTCTGTCCCTTTTAGGGAACATCTCTTTTTCTTCCATCCTGCTTTGGCCAACAGGTCAAGAAGCAGCTCCCGGAACAGTTGTCAGCAAATCATGTTAAGTGTTAACTTGTGCTGTGACAAGGAAAAGGGGACAAGGAAGCTTCTCAGTCAAACTCTAAAAATGGTTCACGCCTCCATAGAAGTTCATTCTTATTGCCTCTGTTTGATAGTGGAGGAATCTGAGGCGCATGTAGCCGTCCTGTGGTTTGGTGACGGTGACAGTTTGTACCAGGACGCTGCTGCGAGGCTCCACACATCAAATCTTCTTTCAAGGTGCCCTTTGTGATGCCAACATGGAGCCAGAGCCTAAAGAGCAGCTCTAGCGACCTTTGTTCTTTTTGGCATTTCCCTAGAAGGAACAGAAAACACAAGAAAAGAAAAATACAAAGAATGTCAGTTACAACATTGATAAAACATTTAAAGTACCGTGTTGCGTTTAAGTGCAGTAAGGTGATAGGTCTCAGGTTGGTTTTGCATTCGGTTTTAAGATGTAAAAACATGCTGAGGCTGGTCTCTGGCCTTCCGAGAGAAAATCACCACCTTTAACTCTCAAACATGTTCTGTCCTGCAACTTCCCAGCACTCAGCTCTCTGTGTGCGCACAAGCAGGAACATGCACGCTTCAAAAAGGGGCCTCTCCTTTTCTGCCGCTCTAACTTTAAACGACTTCTTCAGATGGTTCCAGCAGGTGCTTTTCCCATCAGGCCCGGCACAGACCACGACGCCACCAGTGACCTCGCATTTCACCCCATATCTGACGAAAACTTTACAACGTCACATTTCACTGACAACCCTGAAATGAACCTTGAACCCACTGGATTTGTGTCGCTCCATTTTAAACGATTGAGCTTTATATTTATGTACATGGGGATTGATGGCATGTGACAGCTGCAAAAAATCCCGAGAGCGAAGTTACGTTTTGAAAGGGAACCATTTGGACGATCAAAAAGCATATAAATAGGCGATTCAGTCCGAGTGCTGTACCTTGCTGCCCAGTTTCAGAGTGTCAATTTCTTCTCTCTGCTTGCTCAAAGTCTCATTCATACTGCACAGGTGGTCGCTCATCATGCTGAGCTGATCTTCGTAGCTCCTCTTCGTCGTAGCCAGCTCATCCTGTGTGACAGACAACATAGTGACAATGTATTCTGAGCTTATATGGGGTTAATGTAGAAAGCTCTTTTGGTAATGAGGCTGCTTTTTACCTGCAAGCGTGTGATCTTCTGAGTGGCCAGTTTGATCTCCTCTGTCAGAGTCTCCCGAGACTTTTCTGCAATGGCTAATCTCTTTGCCAAAGCTCGACACTAGAAAGGGAGAAAAAAAGGAAAGTAAACAACTGCTGTCCCCCGATAGATGTAAAGCAAGTCTATACTTTGCAGGTTTTCTTCAAAAGCTTCAATAAAGGTGTATTTACATTGGTGTTTTTAAGGACAGCTGCCACATGTAAATGCAGAGTCTGAAATAGTGATAGATTAATTCCCGAGGCTGTGACTCAAGATCAGGTGCAGTCCTGTTGCTATGATACTAAATGTTAATGACTGACGTGCCGGTTAGTCACTAATGCGACCGGATGTCACTTAGAGAAGCTATCTACATTCAGATACCTGACACCAAAAATGGAAGGTGTCAGTTTCTCAGTGAAAAAAGGCAACACTTGGAAATAAAGTGTTGCCTTTTGTCCAAAGCGAAAATAACAGAGAAAAGAAGGTTAACTTCTGATTCAGTTTCTGTGCTCTCTGTATCAAGCATATGAAAGGAGCAGGGCGAGTGACTGTTCTGCACTAAATGTATTTGGGCTTTTAGAGGAGGCTGTTAGATGAGTTCTCATATTCCTCTTCCCCAGTGACATGCAAGGAAAAGTTCAGTTCTTTGCTTCGAGCAGCAGCTTGGTTAGGGCTTCACCTCGGAGTGAAAGTGCACCGCTTTGCTGTCTGAGATCTGGAGCTGTGTGGTGAGCTCTCCCACTCTGGCCATGTAGTGAGTCTTTATCAGCGTCTCCCTGGACTCCTCGTCACCCACCTGTACACACAGACACAACATCCAGCTGGAGAAGAACTTTGTTTCACATTCTAGGAAGTATTAAACTAAAAAATGCATTTCTGTTTTTTATTTAGGTACTCTGTGTTTTATTTTGTCAGCTGGTTAAGTGTGTGGTAACTTACATGCTCGACTGAAGGAGTTGTGCACAACATGCCAACCTGAGAACAAAAAACATGTCAGGAAGTTCATCATAAATCAGATGGTATAAAAGCTTCAGGCACAGACAGGCGTCCAACACTGTTAGGACAAGCAAGCCATGCAAGAGATAATATAAATAAAACACAAGCAGCGCAGTAACGGGTGAGTCAAACCGCCCTGGGTTGTGACTGCACTGTGAACTCTGCACTGACTTGCATAAACAACATTTCTCCTCTATTCTGCTGCATCAGCGCATTGGAAGTCTTGCTTTCATTAGGCAACAACTTGCTTAGCGTGGGAGCCACAAGAAAAGAGCCATAATACTCTCTTTGTTGAAGCAAATCAGACACTAGTGCCATGGGCGGAAAATGTCCTCTGCAAGCAAAAACTAACAAGCGCAGCAGCCAATGAGGGACAGTACCAAGCTGGTGCACAGCGTGGCCTCTCTCTCCCCAGCGCTGGGCTCCATCTCTGCTTCCTCCTGGCTCTGTACGGGCGTGCTGGCTGCAGCTGGGGGTGAGTTCAGACTCCCCCCTTGAGCTGCAGCGAGCTGAGCTTCCAGGTCAGCGATGCGCTGGTTCTCCTTTTCCAAGCGCACCTTCCCCAGCTGCGCCTCCAGCAGCCAGTGCTCCTTCTCC